CTAGTTCTCCTGTCACACGGAGTCAATTCCCATTTTGACAAATATAATACAAACTTTCAATTGCATCTTGTTTTATCAAAATTATTCATCATTGATATAAAACAAACCTTTTTATCAAAATTATTCATCATTGATATAAAACAAACCTTTTTATCAAAATTATTCATCATTAATATAAAACAAACCTTATTATTAAAATTATTCATAAAACAAAATATCTGAAATAGAAAATATTTTTATTATACAATTTATTCTAATTTGAAAAGTATATATATTTCTATATTTTTGTGGATGATGGTGACGCGGTTCGTTCATCCGTTTTGGTGACTATTAATTACAGAGAGAGAGAGAGAGACCGCCCAACGGGAATGGACATCTCTGGCCATCCCACATTCTGTAGACATGAAGGGGGTGTGGAGCAATGGCATCAAACCCCCGTAAACGAGAGAGAGAGAGAGAGTTCTGGTTGAACTGGGCAGCTCGACAAATGTAATCTCGCCGGACAGGGGCGCTCCCCCGTGACCTTTGTTATCAAGGAAACATGTCCTTTTCCGGTTTTTATCAAATTAGTCATCAGTCAACAAAATTTAATTTTTTCTATTTTTCCCTACAAGTAACTTAAGTTTTTCTTCACTTTTAGATAAAGAAAGCACAAAGTTTGCGAAAATTATTTTTTAAATATAAACTTTTTGGTAAGCGCAGAGTTTAGGAAAAAAGTTATGTTTTCCAACTTTGTGCCTATCGAAAAGTGGAGGTAAATTCAAAAGATTTAAAGTTGTTAATTTTCGATAGTATATATGAATTTGTCGTCATCTCGGTCAAGTTTGTAGGAAATGATGAAAACTTGAGAAAATTGAGGGAGAACCTCTGGCGGTATGCCGAAATCAGTGGTGCGAGTAAACCAATAACGCGTCCGCCACGCCGGGTGCCAGATTCAAATCCGGTAGTAGGGTCCAAAACATTTCGACAGAGAGTGAGTGAGAGAGAGAGAAGCAAAACTCTGCAGGACATTTCGAACCTATCCGCGTTCTGTCTGGCTTTCGGATTTGACAGGCCATTAGATCGACTCCATCAATAAGTATAGTACGTGCTGTACTTAACTCACAAATCGCCACATTGTGCGCGACGCGATTGACTGATGCCTCATTGTCTCTAATTGTGTATATTGGATAACGAAAAATATTTATAGTCCCAATACAATTCATTATATTTTCCGTACAATGATTTTCAAATCATTGGATAAAATTGTCATAGAAAAAATCGGAACTCAAAATCAGACTCAATTTGAAGTGCATCAAAAATTAGCCATTTTTAGTCTGAACCAATGGCTAAAATTGGTTCATTTTTGTTGCACTTCAAATTGAGTTTGATTTTGAGTTCAGAATTTCTGAAACGGATCATAATCACATTTTTTAACATTAAAACTACAATTTGAATTCTACTTTAAAAACGTGTAGTGTCCGATTTCGATAAAATTTATAAAATAAGTGACAATCCTGAAATAAATTCTATAAATATAAAAATTCAATTATTATTGGCGCTATAAAACATTTTGTCGGATTAGCAAATATGTAATGACGCGCGACATGGACAGAGAGAAAAGAGAAAGAATAAGCGAAAATCAAACAGCTTCACCTCTATATATATATAGTCAGATAAAAGAGAGGAGAGGTCTGTCAGAATATTCAAGAAGATTCGATTCCCTGGTGTGGTACGAAGCGTATCCAATTTGATGGCATTACAATAACGGAGGTAATGTCTGAGAATAATGAAATTTCCCCCAATCACCAACGACTCTTCTGGAATACGTTCTTTCGTTCTTGTCTATACTCTACTCTTCTTTCTCCTCAATTTTTTCGTATATATACTCATTTCCCTTTTCCGTACCACTCGCATATATATATATATAAATTTTCCCATGAAATTATGTCACAATTTATCATTTTTGTTCCTAACGATTATATTATTATTTAGTCTATATCAAATTGATGTCAATGATATCATTCCAACCAGAAATTGGGTCATTAATTTTTTATTAGGGATACTTTGGATCTTGATTTTAGTACTTGATATACTTAGTTTATATATACACTAATTTAAAAGTATCAAATTGAAAACCTATCAAATTGATATAGAAAATTGGTATCAATTTTGATACTTTTAAATTAGTTTTAAAAAGGTTTTTTTTATTTACACAATCGAAATGAATAAACAAATTAGTACAACATCAATTTGATACTTTTAAATTAGTTTTAAAAAGATTTTTTTTATTTACACAATCGAAATGAATAAACAAATTAGTACAACATCAAAAATGTGTTCAAATCGCAAAATAAATTTGCAAAAAAAAAATAATTGTCGCACATAGTGAAACCTTGCGAGTTTATAATATATCCTATCTTTTGAAAACCAGTTTGTTGACTTTTGTATATATATAGATATATAAAGGAGAAAAGCGTGAAACGATCTTCGGTGGACTAAGGGTAATGGAATATTACACGGACCATTAAAGAAACGTTAATCTTACCCACAACAAGTTCAGGAGAGAGCTCGAGAAAGGCGCACACGCGGGTTACTCGCAAACGTTGCACGATTACACGGTGGAGCTTTGATCCTTCATCCAGGAGGGCAGCCACCGCCGGGGGGCTTTTGGTAATTTGTTAAAACGCGAAATTCTCCGCCAATCCCTTCATATATATAGCAACCGGAGGGTGTATACCGTTTCGATTTTCAAATGAAAGCTTCCATTTTCTATATATAATATATTATATATATTATTCTATTTTTATATATATATATGACGCTCTACGGGAAATGGGACCTTACAGGTAAACAATTTTAGGTTATGTTCGTGATTTTCAAATTGGAAATGTAAGGTATTATACGAAAGGCTAAAACTAAAATATTTCATAAACATTTATTTTGATTTGCAATAATTAAAAAGAAATTTTCAATTAAGAAAAAACTAATATAAACATAACCTCAAACTGATTTGCTTCTAAGGTCCCTTTGTTTAGAACGCGTCACATATCATATATTCAACAATAAAAATTGATTTTACTAATTAATAATTAAGTTTAATCAAGCAAAAACTGAAACTATAAACATAACCTAAAATTTTTTTTTCTTTAAAGTCCCTCCAATTGAAAAAACACAAACATAACCTGAATTTTTTTTTTGCCTCTTAAGGTCCATTTTCGCGTAGAGCGTCACATATATATATATTTCGTATATTAAAAAAAAAAGATCCTCCTTGCAAATTTTAATTACCTGTGAATTGCAATTTTGAAAGTTTTTCTTGGTTAATTTAGTTGACTAAATATAAGTCGACAATGGCGCCACCGGAGGATATAAAAAAGGCTGACACTGATTAAAATCAGAGCTTACTTCTCTCGGAACTTTGCTCGTTTTCAAGAGAAGAACGTTTCAAGACTTTTGAAGCGCGGGCTTGCGAAGTATATAGTGGGCAAAAAAAAAAAAAAAAAAAAAAAATTTGTACTCGCAAGCGGCGAATCTCAAGGACTTTCTTTTTCACTTCCGCCAAGAACGTTCAAGTCGGAAACCTTCTCTCTCTCTCTCTATTTCTCTCTTTCTCCTTTTTTCATTTTACGAATCTTTCTCGAGGGTGGAGAGACGTTTCTACAGTGCGAAGCCATTACGAAGGTGCCAGAGGAGTGGGGAATCAAAGGAGAGAAAGAAAAAAGCACAAGAGGGAGAAAAAAATATATATATGTATAGAGAGAGAGAGAGAGAGAGGGAGAGAAATTCATCGGCAAAGAGCGTGCGAGCAAAGAAGAAAGATCGAATAAGGCAAGAAAGGAGAAAAAGAGTTTGGCGACCCTCTTTCACTTTTTACCCTAAGCAAGTCGCGAGCCCCTTAGCCACCGTTTATTGGACGCATGCAAATATCCATGGCAACCGTTCGCATGGCTCATCCTTTGAAAAGTTTTTTCCCTGCGTGAGAGAATGAGAAAGAGAAAGAGCGAATTCCCAGCAAACATCAAGAAAAAAAGGGATATATATATATATATATATATCAAACGTACTGTGCGTCTTTAATTACTCGAACGATTGACCTTTTTCAATTTGTATTAAAAAGAAAATTTTTATTACTTATTTTTCTAATATAATAATATTTTTAATTATAATAGTCACTGTAAAACGAAATATATTAATTTAATACCTACTTTAGGTTTGGTTCTATTTGGATAAAATCGATTTTTGTATACTTTCTTTTTAATTGGAAATTAGATTTTTTTTGGTAAAATTTTTAATTTGTTGATTTATTGGCGCAATTTTTTTAAAAATGGAAAATGGATTTTAAAATGAAATTAATAATTGGAATAATTTTCTGGTAAAATTAGAAAATAATAAGAAAAATAATTTTGTCAAAAGCTTCTTAGGGAAAGAAAATTAAAAAGTGATTTTCATTCGCGAAATAACCGTGCTATATGTATGTACAATACAAATACTGAAATGTTTTGTGTGAGTAGACAAAGCTTTGGTGACAATACGCCTGCGCTTCCGTTCTCTCTCTCTCTCTTTCTCACTCCCAACTAGGGTCCATTACGCGTGTTTTGCGGTGTACTTCCCATGATTATTATACGTGTATTTACACGCCCAGCTATCATGTCTAACCCTATATATATATACATGTAACTGGAAATTTATTACACTCTCTCCAGGAAATACAAATAATACTCGATCGTTAACAAATTATATATAAATTCATTTTTAATTCTATTTTAAATTTTCCCTTCTCAGTTTACTTATTTGATTTTTCTTTTTAAAAATCAATTGTTTTTCTATTTGTATAACTGTTGGGATGCAAAATATAAAATTTCTAAATTTTTTTTTACAGAATTTTATGATTTACATTTTTAATAAATTGATAATAATTTTTGGCGCGAATTTTTGAATTATATGATAATGTTGGTAAAATAAAAATACCAAAATAGAAATGTTCTATGTAAAAAAAAAAAAAAATAATTGGTACTCACACTTGGAATGTTATCATTGGTACAAACTCCCTCTTGAAGTAAACGATCACGAATCTCCCAGGCAAAAATTGAAGGGCATTCGCTCTTATAGAGAGAAATTTTACTGACGACCTCTGCAGTTGCAACTCGTGGTTTACTACCTCCAATGGCTCTCGGTCTAATTGAACCCGTTTCATAGTACCTAGAACAATAATAATTTGCGATACAATACAATAAATGTAATAAAAAAAAAGAATAAAACTATAATAGAGTTTGTGTAAAATGTAATTTCAATAAAAAAAAAAAAAAAAAAAATTTAGTTGGTGCAGCGAAACATAATTTTGTTGGTATTTAAGGTAAACAAACTATTTTTTTGAGTTAACCAAAAAAATTTTTGGTTTTTGTAACCAAATTTCGGTTGTCGTAACCAACTTTTGGTTGTTGTATAACCAAATTTCGGTTATGACAACAAATGTTTATTTGGTTTTTTAGACCAACTAAAATTTGGTTACGACAACCAAAAGTTGGTTACAACAACTAAAATATCGTTACGACAATCAAAAATTGGTTACAACAACCGAAACTTGGTTACTACAACCAAAATTTGGTTACGACAATCGAAATTTGGTTACGACAACCAAAAGTTGGTTACAACAACCAAAATATCGTTACGACAACCAAAACTTGGTTACAACAACCAAAATATCGTCACGACAACCAAAAATTGGTTACAACAACCAAAATATTGTTACGACAACCAAAAATTGGTTACAACAACCGAAACTTGGTTACTACAACCAAAAGTTCGTTACAACAACCAAAACTTGGTTACAACAACCAAAACTTGGTTACAACAACCGAATCTTGGTTACTACAACCAAAAGTTGGTTACGACAATCGAAATTTGGTTACGACAACCAAAAGTTGGTTAAAACACCCAAAATATCGTTACGACAACCAAAACTTGGCTACAACAACCGAAATTTGGTTACGACAACCAAAAGTTGGTTACAACTACTAAAATATCGTTACGACAATCAAAAATTGGTTACAACAACCGAAACTTGGTTACTACAACCAAAAGTTCGTTACAACAACCAAAACTTGGTTACAACAACCAAAATATCGTTACGACAACCAAAACTTGGTTAAAACAACCAAAATATCGTCACGACAACCAAAAATTGGTTACAACAACCAAAATATTGTTACGACAATCAAAAATTGGTTACAACAACCGAAACTTGGTTACAACAACCAAAAGTTCGTTACAACAACCAAAACTTGGTTACAACAACCAAAACTTGGTTACAACAACCGAATCTTGGTTACTACAACCAAAAGTTGGTTACGACAATCGAAATTTGGTTACGACAACCAAAAGTTGGTTAAAACACCCAAAATATCGTTACGACAACCAAAACTTGGCTACAACAACCGAAATTTGGTTACGACAACCAAAAGTTGGTTACAACTACTAAAATATCGTTACGACAATCAAAAATTGGTTACAACAACCGAAACTTGGTTACTACAACCAAAAGTTCGTTACAACAACCAAAACTTGGTTACAACAACCAAAATATCGTTACGACAACCAAAACTTGGTTAAAACAACCAAAATATCGTCACGACAACCAAAAATTGGTTACAACAACCAAAATATTGTTACGACAATCAAAAATTGGTTACAACAACCGAAATTTGGTTACGACAACCAAAAGTTGGTTACAACTACTAAAATATCGTTACGACAATCAAAAATTGGTTACAACAACCGAAACTTGGTTACTACAACCAAAAGTTGGTTACGACAATCGAAATTTGGTTACAACAACCAAAAGTTCGTTACAACAACCAAAATATCGTTACGACAACCAAAACTTGGTTAAAACAACCAAAATATCGTCACGACAACCAAAAATTGGTTACAACAACCAAAATATCGTCACGACAACCAAAAATTGGTTACAACAACCAAAATATTGTTACGACAATCAAAAATTGGTTACAACAACCGAAACTTGGTTACTACAACCAAAAGTTCGTTACAACAACCAAAACTTGGTTACAACAACCGAAACTTGGTTACTACAACCAAAAGTTGGTTACGACAATCGAAATTTGGTTACAACAACCAAAATATCGTTACGACAACCAAAACTTGGTAACAACAATCAAAATTTGGTTACGACAACCAAAAATTGGTTACAACAACCAAAATATCGTTACGATAACCAAAAGTTGGTTACGACAATCGAAATTTGGTTACGACAACCAAAATTATTGCCTAAATCAAAGGATTTTGTTTGCAAAAACAAAATATTTCTTTCAGTGAAAATAGTATATATTTAATTTGTAATTTAATAATTCTTAAAAAAAGGGTAAATTTGTATATATATATATATATATATATATATATTGTAATAAATTTTGGTTAATTTCTTAAATTATATATTTTATGCACGCGCAGAGTCACTATACTAATGGCAATATGGAGGGTTATATATTTTACACAATGGCGCGCGGTCCAGTTCGCTTAATTCGTTGAGATTAAGTGCATTTTATTACGCAAGCGCGTATTATAATGTATATAGTAAAGGAATGTGTGTAGGAGGAGAGTGATCGTGTCGCATGGTTCGCATTCTTGTGGCTATGTCCCTCGTGTCTTTTTCTTTTCCTTCGTTTTTCACTCTATCCTTCTTGCACCCCACCTATTTTTTTTTACACTTTTTTTTTTTATATACATATATGTGTCTCTGCGGTTTTTACTCTTTCCCTCTTGCTCTCCCTCTCTGCAAAATGCATATGCAACTAACAACTATACATACTCTCAAGGCTCGCACCACTCACGAGAAACTAATTTGCGTGTGTTAAGACTCTCAAAAGAATGATGTATTAGGAAATATGTTAAAAATCCCGAGAGGGAAGCTTTCTAAAGTGCATAAGACATAATTTCCTAAAAGAATTGTAACGATTTTATATATTCCCCTATATCTAGAAGCTAATTTTTGATTATTTTATATTTAGCTTAAAAAATTTTTAGTAATTTTTAGTAATTTGATTTAGTAGTTTACAAATTTTTACTAAAGTTTTAGTAAAAGTAACTAAAAATTAGTGAAAATTCTTACTAATTTAAATTAGTAGCTCACTTTTACTTTACTGAAAATTAAGCAACTAATTTAAATTAGCAAAAATTTTCACTAATTTTCATTGACTTTTTACTAAAACTTAAGTAAAAAAAAAAATTTTAACTAATAAATCGAGTAATTTTTTACTAAAACATAACAAAAATTCTTACTAATTTGAATTAGTAGCTCATTTTTCACTAATATAAATTTAGAGAGGTTAAAACATAATAAGAAATTATGTAATTAATAATGAATATTATATCATAATAAAATTCTCTTTTTTGCTTTAGAATTAGTTAAATTTTACTAATTGTTAATATAAGTTACTAATAATTAGTAAAAATTTACTAATTCAGAAGCAAAAATTTAGTTACTAATTCAAATTAATAAACTTTTTTACTAATTCAGATTTAGAGAGCAAATCAAATTAGTAGAAATTTTTACTAACTTTTAGTAAAAAATATTATTTCATTTAGTAAATGTTTTGTAACTAAAGATTTAGTGAAAAATTACTAAAAATTAGTATAAACTTCACTTATTCAATTATTTTCACTTATTCAAATTTAGAAAACACACACATAACCTAAAAAATAGCCTATAAAAACAAGACATTTTTAAATATTTGTCACCAAAAGAAAAATATTTTATAATTTCGTTTTCGTTTAAAAATATTTATATATTAATAATCCATTAATATTTCCAATATTTTTAAGTCGATACATATAACGGTTTATTATATATATACAAAATTTGGTAGCGGTCCGAGTCAAAAAAAAAAAAAAAAATTTCTAATCTCCAGAGTCAAGAATAGGGTCAACTTAATACTTATATAAATGTGTTGAAAGAACATTTCTGAGAAACGAAATAAAGCTTTTAAGAAAAAAGTATATCAGCATCGTGAGAAAACTATTTTGGAAAGAGGGTATATATAATAATAATCCAAAAAAATAGGTGGAACATAAAATTTTTGTATGAAAAGAAATTTAATTATAAGGGCGGGAAAAAAAATACGTATGCAGTATTGCAACCAACCTGCCAAGAATTTTCGAGACACATCCATTGCTGACCTGCAGGATTCTTGAAATGTCACAAGGCCTCGCTCCTGAATGAGCCAATTCAACAATCTTTTGCCTTGTTGAATCAGGCAATGGTCTACCGCCAACAAAAACACCACCCAGCTGGTTAACCCCGCTGTGACCTGAAACAAGATACACAAATTTTTTTTACATATCAATTCAATTTTACTAATTAATATGTTTACATTTATAAAAATATAATAATAATAATAATAAAGTTATTTATAAAAAAAAAATTCACAGCTAAATTTATTGCTATAACAACAAAAAAGTTTGCTATGATAAACAATATTTAATTTTTAAAAATTTACTGTCACAGCAAACTTTTATGACCCCACAGCAAAATTTGTTCGCTGTCCTTATATTAGCTAACGTAATTTGATGTGACAGCAAAATATTTCGCTGACACAGTAAACTTTTTTCTGTGCGTGGCGTGAACACAGAAAATTAAAAGGCATTAAAATAAGCTGCAACGCTTCTTATTTTAATCCAATTTTCCTTATTTTAATCCATTTCGGTATTAAAATAAGCAAAATTGGATTAAAATAAGAAGCGTTGCAGCTTATTTTAATACCTTTTAATTTTCTGTGAATAAAATTTTTTATATAAGATTAATTTCTTATTTATAAATGTTTATTATTTTAATTTAAATTGTAATTTAAATTAAATTTTATTAATTTTTTTTTTTAGTAAATTCAAACAAAATTTGTTTGATTCAAAATTTCAAATAAATATTTATTTGATCTAAATATAAATGGTTATTATTTTAATAAATTTTTCCAACGAAGAAAGAATTTGAGCCAAATAAACTTTTGGATTATATAACCAGAAGTTTGGTTATATAAGTTTATAAGTTATAAGTTTGCCAATACAATTATTTAATTCAACCAAAATTTCGTTGCCTCAAATAAATTTCTTTCTACCAGTATATAGAATATAAATGCGGTAATATAGTTATATATAATAAAATTTATATAAATAAAATTATCCTTTAGAAAAATTTTGTAAAGTAATACCATATAGAAAATTTATATTATAAAATTCTGATGTGCGATTGGAAAAAATTGATTTTTGAAAAACATTTCAAAGTCAGTAAATCATACGCAAACTATTATCCGTATAAAAATGAAAATAAGATTCCCATCCTATTTTGAAAAAAAAAATATATTATTGTATTTTTATATCAGAATAGTAAAAAAAAAAAAATTTTTTTTTGTGGAAGATTAATTTCAGGGGTTGGCGAATTCGTCGTAAATATAACAATATCGATTATAATAAATATATTATAGAAAGGAACAGTTCTTAACTATAAGTGTCCTCTCACACATATTATTATATTTTCCTCACAGGAGACCTTTATTATTCGATCTCTTGTATATATGTCTCCTCGAGAACCTGCCACGCCCGCTCTTGGCACTTTTTTTTATTCCATTTATATATATTCTTTGACTCTTTTTTAAATTTTCCATAGCATTTATAATATACAAGATGAAATATGTACATATATTAATAATAAATAAATAAATATGTTTATTTTATTTATTTATATACCTATATACTGAAAAAAAAATTCATTTGAGTCAATTAAATGGTATTTGTTTGAAATAAAAATTATTTGATTCAAGTAAATATTTATTTGATAATAGTCAAGTAACCAATTATTTGAGTTAAATAATTTTTTCCCTTAGAAGCAATAAGCGAACATAACCTCAAAATTTATGTGAATTTTTACTGTGAATATAGCCGCAAATCCCTAAAATGGCAGCTGGCTATATTCGACAAACATAACCTCAAATTTAGGTTAAATTTTGACGAGAAATCCCTCCCCTAACCAGGAAACAAACATAACCTTAAAATTTAGCTCAAATTTTGGCGAAAAATACCTCCCCACCCTCGACACTAACAAAAAAAACGAACATAACCTTAAAATTGATGTGAATTTTGAGTATGAATATAGCCGCAAGTCTCCATGTTGCCGCTGGGTTCGTTCGGCTATATGTCCGGCAGAAAAAACCTCAAATTTTATTCAAATTTTTAGCGGGAAATTCCCCTCCCCTAACAAAGAAACAAATATAACCTCAAAATTTATGTGAATTTTAACATATGAATATAGCCGCAAGTGGCCAGAATTGCCTCAAGGTTTAAGACTACATGTCCAACAAATGTAACCTTAAATTCCCTTAACCTACAAACGAACATAACCTCAAAATTTAGCTTAAATTTTGGCGGAAAATACCACCTCCCACCCTCGACACTAACCAAAAAACGAACATAACCTTAAAATTGATGTGAATTTTGAGTATGAATATAGCCGCAAGTCTCCATGTTGCCGCTGGGTTCGTGCGGCTATATGTCCCGCAGAAATAACCTCAAATTTTATTCAAATTTTTGTCGGGAAATTCCCCTCCCTTAACAAAGAAACAAATATAACCTCAAAATTTATGTGAATTTTGACTATGAATATAGCCGCAAGTCCAACAAATGTAACCTTAAATTCCCTTAACAGACAAACGGACATAACCTCAAAATTTAGATAAAACCGCAAGTATCAAATTAGTCAAAAATTTTATATCATTTTGATACTTTTAAATTATATAACTATATGTTGGTTCAAAAATACGCTCAGAAAAATTAATTCTTAAAAGATTATTTGAAAACTTTATATTGTATTTTGAATAAAGAAACATTTTTTTATTTTAAAAACAATTATTCGTTAAATTAAATGAAAAATCCCATCAGTATTTTTCAAAGGGTGCGAAGTACGTGATGCATAGGTTCATGTGTCAGTGAAAGAGGGAGGGAATTCGCTTTTGGTGAAAATTTATCACCTCAACTATATATATACATATATATATCTATATATGTGTATGTATACGGAATATCGACAAAAGACTCACGCTCGATTGACTTTTCTGAAAAAAAAAAATGAATGAATGAAATGAAGAAGCTAGAATCTGTAACATTTTTTTTGACTTGTAACAGAGTAATACCGAAAAACGACAATATCTTACTAATAGACCAAGTGGTAGTGGCATGTTATATATATATACATACAAAGGGCGAACGCGTGTAAAAAATTTATTGGATTCATTCAGTAAAATTAAAACGTTATACAAATAGCGGACAATAAAAACAGACTCGAATGTTTTCTATTAATAAATTAATATTTCTTTTCTGGGATTTAAATACTATAGACAATTAAAAATTAATTTTTTTTAAAATATAAAATTTTTCTATCATTTAAAAAACGTAGTCTGTGGGTATTTTAAAATTTATGAAAATTAATTACAATGTAGAGTCGGTCTGTAAAAATTCAAATTTTTTAAACTACTTTCAATGTATATAGAGACGGTCTGTAATAACGTTTAGAATTTTTTTAAAATTATTTTCAATGTAGAGTCGGTCTATGAAAAATTATCAGCGATGTAGAGTTGGGCCTATAGAAGGGTCGATAATTAGGAATTCAAAATTTTTTAAAAATTAATTTCAGTCGGTCTGTGAAAATTCGATTGTTTTAAAACTAGTTTCGATGTAGAGTCGGTCCGCGAATATTTAGAATTTATAAAAATTAATTTCAATGTAGAGTCGGTCGGTGAAAATTAACTGCGCGATCTAGAGTTGGACCTTCTTGAGTCGGTCTTTCAAAATTAATTTTGATGTTGAGTCTTATTCAACAATTAAAAATTTCTGAGAACTGATTCCGATGTAGAGTCGGTCGCTATAAAAATTTTTTTAAATTAACTGAGATGTAGAGTTGGACCTTGTTAGATCCGTCTTTGGGTATTCATAATTTTCAAAATTAATTTTGATGTAGAGTATTATGCGACAATTAAAAATTTTTGAAAACTGATACAGATGTAGAGTCGGTCTATGAAAATATGTAAATTAACTGCGATGTAGAATTGGACCTTGTTAGATCCGTCTTTGGGTATATTCATAATTTTCAAAATTAATTTTGATGTAGAGTATTATACGACAATTAAAAATTTTTGAAACTTGATACAGATGTAGAGTCGATCTATGAAAATATATGTAAATTAACTGCGATGTAGAGTTGGACCTTGTTAGGTCCGTCTTTGACTATTCATAATTTTCAAAATTAATTTTTATGTAGAGTCTTATGCGACAATTAAAATTTTTTAAAAACTGATACTGATGTAGAGTCGGTCTATGCAAATATGTAAATTAACTGCGATGTAGAGTTGGACCTTGTTAGGTCCGTCTTTGACTATTCATAATTTTCAAAATTAATTTTTATGTAGAGTCTTATGCGACAATTAAAATTTTTTAAAAACTGATACTGATGTAGAGTCGGTCTATGCAAATATGTAAATTAACTGCGATGTAGAGTTGGACCTTGTTAGGTCCGTCTTAGGGTATTCATAATTTTCAAAATTAATTTCAATGTAGAGTCAGGCAATGTAGAGTCTTTTTTAACAATTTGAAATTTTTGAAAACCAATTCCGATGTAGAGTCGGTCTGTAAAAATTTGAAACCTAAAAATAAATGTCGATAAAAACATTTCCTTGCCTTTTATATTGGACTTTGTTTATCAGACGTTACTTTGTATTAAAGAGCCCTCAATGAAGAATTGATAATAGCTAATGAAGTCATATATGAAAAACGAGAGATCCAGGGTGTGTGTATGTTGACTGATATTAAATAGAAGCGTTACAATATCAAAACACGAATCGTACAGAATGCCCACTTGAACGCACCCCTCGGTACCGCAGCAATTCATATATATATATATACTATATAGCTATATATTAAATACATAAACGAGCCTATGGAGCACGTTTGTACAAGGCCTTAAGTTCCTTCCACCCCACGTGTGTATTCCCTTACAACATATTTATGATCCGCATTTTCGCAACAATACTATATATGGCATATGAGCACCCAGTATTGTTATTTGTACAGGTTATTATTACTATTTAGCTGTCGCATTCAATTGACAATTCTCTCTCTCTCTCTCTCTCTCTCCTTTCACCACGCGCGCGCCTTTTGACTGATGCGTTTGTGTTTCTTATTTTCTCCATTCACAATAGAAGAGAGCAATATGATATTAACACAAAAAAGGGGTTTACAATTTAAAGTAAGTTAATTAGTTTCTCACTAA